AGTCCTGATGCTCTTCTAGGTAATCACACATCCTGTCATGTTCACAGCTACAGTTGATACCTTTGATATCATGTTACTCTCATGTTGGAAGAGGACATTCAGTGTTTTCCCAACAGTAAGGGAGGAGATGAGTGAGTACCTGATGACCAGGTCGTGGTCCTTCACCAGAGAGTCCAGGTGTCCCTCCTGACTGCCTGCGTCCAGCATCACGGGGATGGTGTTGGGATATTTCTCCGCCAGCTCCTCCGCCTGCCGCAGCATCATCGACGCTGAGAGGTAAACCACAACAAAAAAATTCAATGGACGGTCTTATATTCTTTCTTATTGGACATTTTTCACATCTCCTTTCAGAAATGTTTGGGACATTTGTTTGCATCGTCTTTGGAAAAAACTTTTCCACGTTTTTCACATAATTATCTGAATTTCTTTTAGCTATTTGATGGACCCTTTTTCAGACAATTTTTATTTTTAAGGATTTCTTTTACATTTTTTCTGTTATTTCTAAGACTTATTTTTAAGGATTCTTTTTCAGCATTTTAATGTTTTTTTTAATGTTGTTTAAAGTGGACCTATCATGCCATTGTTAGGCAATAGCATAGGTCTCAGATATATACAAATATATAAAAAACATGTCTATGAAGTGTTTTGCTCAAAATACCAAACAGATCAACCAATCTAGCCATGCCTCATATCCCTCTATTTCACTTCCTGTTTCAAAAGTGCTGATTTTGGGAATAAAGCTTTAAAAAAAATTAATAAAAAAAATTGATACAAAATAAAAAAGGAGGGGTCTGAGCTCATGCGGGACCCGGCAGCTACTGTCTAAACTAAATGCTGCCGTGATGAAACCATATCATGGATTATCAAGGATTATTTCTGAAACAGTATGGAGCTCAAAGGCTTTCTCTCTTGCCGGTTATACCACAAGGTGAGTTCCTTTTTATTTCCTGCTTCTTCACACACATGCTCTCCAGTACAGGTTAGCTCTGAGTGTTAGCGATGCTAATGTAAACACCGACCATATTACGTCCCAAAAAGTCGGGCATTGTTTCTGATAGGGCCGTGGGTCCACATTTCAGATATTACGTCATATCGGACGCAAATCTGGATCAGCTCCGTTGTTCCCCGTTTTTAGAGATTTGGGTACGGAGGAAAAGAGAGAGGGTTTTATTTTCCCCGACACACCGGGGACACATCTTTATGTATAAAAGACATCAAAAAGTGCATTTTGCATGATAGGTCCCCTTTAATGTTGTGATATGAATCAGTTTTTGTACATTATTCACGTATTCTATCAGAAAATGTTCCCTCATTGTTCGCATGATCCTTTGGAGATTTACCACGTAAATTCTGATATTTTCCACATAGTGACTTTTTAAATATAGTTTCTTTCCATTTCGTCCAAATAATTTAAAGTAATTTTTCCACATGATTCTCAAACATCTTTAAAACTCGTTTCCAGGTATTTTTCACACATTTTTGGGATATTTAAAGAAAAATAACAGCGTTTTTCGACTGTTTAAGGTTGTGCTCATTCCAACTCCTTTACATACTATTGGCTAGTTTAATCTGCAGTAAAGCATCATATTCTATAACCTCATCACACGTGTGTAGCTTTGTCCAGTAAGCACCACGTATCTCTAAAAAGTCACCGTTTCATTTCTCAGAAAGACTGTTTTCAGCTTTCTGACGATGCTCATCCAGGATCCTTCTGAAAGACTTTGAGTTGTTTATGTTTCCAGAGTCTGTCAGAGGAACTCACCCACAGTGACCTGAGTGGTCTTGTCTCGGGTCAGATACTCCACAACGGGTCCGGAGACGTACCCCGACCCGAGCAGCAGAACGCGTCTCATCCCCGTCTTCTTCATGATCTGAGCCTTCTCTCTGCAGGACGTCACACACACACACACACACCGACTCAGAGACACATCATAACACACTGAGACCCACTGATGCATCATTATGAGGTCACTGTGTATCCATTTAACAGAGTTTAAAGGAATATTTCACCCAAGTTGTTGATTAATCAGACACTCAATAGAGCGGTGCAGTGACGAGTCCTAAAACCCGGAAGCGAGTTAGCATTTCACCACTTCCTGTTCCCTCGTCTCAGAGCCAATGGGATCTCTCCATAGGATTTTGGAAAATAGCTGGAAATAAGGTCTGTGGTTGAGACACATTGAAGAGACGGATCACGTTTTGTTCTACGACATTAAATCCATCAGCAGTGACCCCACTGGTGATTTCTGAAGAGTTGACGTGGCTGAAAAACGATGGTTGTTAGGACTACAGAAGTTGTGGAGACCGTTGTACGTCATTACGCCGAACACGTAAACACTCCTCTAAGTGTGTTTGCCCTGTTCTGCTTGAAAGCAAGTACCTGCCTCCTGCAGACTGTTCAAACAAACGCTTCAACTTGTACCATTTAGAATCTGTATGTTTGAATATGGATCTGAAGTTGGCGTGACGTTGAAGTCGTGCTGCTGGACTCGGCTGTAGTTCCTTTATAGCAAAACGTTAGCATTTTGCTTCTGGCCATTAGATTTATGATTAGAACATTATAAAAGTAGGGTAGACATGTGGAGATTATCCGGCTGAACAAAACGTACATTTATCAAACAGGTTCCTTTTCCACAGACCTTATTTCCAGCTGTTTTCCAAATTCCTATGGAGAAATCCTGTTGCTTTTTTGTCGAGGGAACCGGCAGCTTCCTTCCGGGTAAATACGTCATCCCTGCACCGCTCTATTCTGTCCTTTTTACTGCAATGTATTCTTATTGTCCTCTTATTTATCCTCCGTTCCTTTCTCCATAACTCTAAAATCGACTTCTCCTTGAAATGTTTCATCTAAATTACATAACTTCCCTTCCTCCCTCATCCTCGTGTGAATCAAACTTGGCTCCTTGATATGCAAAAAACGGTCAAATTCACACGATCACATAAGAGTTGTCTGCTCTGCTTCTTTTGATCGGCTA